GTTTAGATAGATCATCCTTCAAACCCTCTGCTGGTTGCTGAATAGAAGATATAGTCCCTGGAAAAGCACTGTCATGACAAACACCCGGATCAAGAGGATTATCGTCCATTCCCTGCGTATTCATGTCATCTGTGGTTCCTGTTGTGGAAGCTGTGATATTTGTCATATTATTATCAACCAGAAATATGCCAGCAGTAAGAACCTCCATGGCAGCTCCATTAATGCTCCCAAGATCTGATCCCTTTGAATCTCCAGCTATATTCTTCTTTTTGCTCGCATAAGCCTTCTTTAATTGCTTCTTATCATTCACATGCACCAGGCCTCTGGTAGGTGTTACATGTCATTCCTCCATATCCTTCCGTGATCTTGAGACCTCTGCCTTGCTAAACTAGGATATGGGCCCCCAACATCTGTAGTAGTACCATTGGGCTCACCTGTTATAAAAATTCTCCCCATACCTCCTATGATGCTCCCTGCACCCAACTCATTAGTAAGCCCATTTAAATCATCATTCCACGTGTCACATCACCCACCTTTTGAAGAGACGTCAATCTATTCTTAGTTGGCTCCACCACTGAATCCTTTCTTTACAAATGTTGCTTTCAAGGATTACGGTTTTGGTTTCTTACGACATACCGCCACCAATCACGGGGTTAACACCAGCAACCCTCCTTGTAGGGTTTGTTGCGTTGGTCACCTCTTTCCTAGGGTTTGTCTCCTCAGCCGCCATGTAGCTCCTATCTTGCAACGTCGTCACTGCATTTTTCGAGCTCCTGTCCGATCAGCAGTCTCTTCCATAATGGCCATAGCAGCCACAATTACTCTACTTTATACCAATGCTCGCGGATCCATACACGTCCTACCACAGACTGATCCAGTGCAATCTCAATACAAATCCTCGCAAATCTGCCCTTTCCACCTTTACAATATTCATATCGACCTTGGTAGGGGGTACCTAACACAGAAGCTACAGCCAGAGGAAATTAAGCTCTCGTCGTAGAAAACGATATTTAAATCAGGGATTCTGACCTAAACTAACGTCCGATCAATTCCAGTTGTGGAGTATACGAACTCTGGTGACCATGTTCTAACCGTCAAGCCATGATCATAAATCATCCAGGGTCCTCCATTGACAACTTCAGCCTATCAATTTCCTGATCAAGTTTCTGCATGTAAAAACCAATGTCCCACATCCATAATGTCAAAACCTCCTGATAACCTCAATGCATGCTTCAATCAGATATTCATTTGCGTGTAGCCAATGCTTTTCCCCAATTGCTTTAGAATCAAGGAATTAATCACATCATAGATAGCGAAGCTCCTGGAAGATCTTCGGTAACAAGCAATTCCCATTCTCATAGTCAACACGAACCAGCTGTTTACCTAATAGGTCAACTTTTTTTCCCGTGGAGACCTAAAATCATGTCACGGAAGGACAAATTCTCTTACTGATGTTCTTTCTGCCCGCCAAAGTTGGTTCTGCCGCCTATACTGTCAAATGATCCTCAATACCGTGTACACGGCCCATCCATGGTCATTTGAAAAATTGACCTTCGTTTTTAGATAGTGATTTTCACATTCTATGAACCATCAAAAATATCTTTCGTCCATAAAAACAAAAATTATATGGTGATATTTTATATGTTATGAACCAAAGTATAATTAGCTTATAAATTATCTTCCTTTAATAAATATTATAATTTAAAACAAATAGTTATGTGATATTGATGGATAAGGTTTTTAAGGAAAGTTATTTTACCTTGATTACTTTTATTCTTTTATAAATTAATTTAGAAAATTAATATTATGCTTAATAATTTTATTTTCCTAGTTTTTTTAAGATTTTTATTGCTTTTTCTTTATTTTTATATTTTCTAGTTTTTTAAGTTATTTTTTAATTTATTTAAAGAGTTATAAACCTGGGAGCCTACTTGGTGTAGTGAATTAATGTAAAATTGAGAAATAAAATTTTGAATTAAAATTTTTATATAGTAACATTATTTTTGTAAAATTATGTGTTGTTTATGCTTTTTCTTATGTTAATTTTGTTCATGTCATCATAATATTAGAGCTCTATGTTGGTTGGTATAAACAATAAAAGATTTTTTTATTATTGATTATTGTTTAATAACTATAACTTTGTGTTAGTTGTTGGGTCACAAAATAAAACGTGATCATGTAGAAAAGGAAAAGGAAGAGGAGGTACTCTTTTAAGAAAGAAACATTAAAGAACTGAGAACAAAAGACATGTAAAGATAAGAAATATGCAAAGACAAGTTGAAGAATGATCTTATCGATTAAAGGAGTTGAAGAGGAGAAAACTAAAGGATCATGGAAAGAGTGGT